GTACAAGACACTTAGGACGATTACAAGTAAATGTTCTACCGTATCCGTTCTCTAGACATTCAGATGATCATGTATGGCATCTACAGCTCTGGGCTAGGTATTTGGGAGCGGCAGTATCAAAGAAGAGTAAGACCTATATTTAGTGCTGACAAGCTTATAATTAAGTGGGGGAAGCTGTTACATGCACACAGGCTACAACCCACAAGCTATGGCCACACTGGCCGTCTCACAGGCCTGTTCCTTCTTTGACACCTGCTGGCCCCTTTCCCCGGAACTCTTGTCCTCTACTCCTTTACGTCCTTTAGATTTTTACTCAAATATCAGCTTCTAAGAGATGTTCCCTGATCACCCTGTTTAAAGACATCACAGTGCTGTTACTCCCTACCTCTTTCCTGTCTGTCCCTGACAGCTGTTTCACTTGGCTACATGTTGGCTTCCTGTCACCTGTGCTGCTCTTACCTGTTCAATATCAGCCCTGTGCTTGCTTGCATTACTGCTCAATCCCAGTGTCTGCAGCAGAACCCAGTGGGCACTCAGTGTGGGTGGAATAAAAGAGTGAGCAAATTAATTGTAGGTGCCTGGAGGAGCATGTGCCAAGATCCAGCATGCAAGGAGCAGGGGGGTGTGTTAGGGACTGCATTCATTTTCTCTTTTCAGCAACTGATCAGAAACTTGGTGACTTAAGATAGCATATATTGATTGTCATGTTTTTACAAGTCAGAAGCCTGACACAGCCATGCTAGTCTGAAATCCAGGAGTCTGCAGGGCTCTGTCCCTTTCTGGAGGCTCCCAGGGGGCATTTGTTTCCCTGCCGTTTTCCAGCTTCTGGAGTCCACACATACTCATTGGCTCCTTTCTTTTTTCCATCTTCAGAGCCAGCCATGACTGGTTGAGTCCCTAACATCTCCTGACACATTATCCTGGCCCCCTCTTCTGCCTCCCTCTTTTCATTATTAAGGACCATTATAATTACATTGGGCTCTAGAAAGTTCTGGAGAATTTGCTGTGTCAAGACCAGATGAGCAACTTGAATCCCATCATTAGTGTAAATTCCCTTTGCCATGTAACCTAACTGGTCCACAGGGCCTGGGGAACAGGATGTAGGCACCTTTCAGGACTCCATTATTCTGCCTACCACAAGGATTAACACGTTATTTTGTTTGGAGCCTAGGATCTGAGCTGCTAATCATAAAATTAAAAATTGGAAAGTATAGTTAAGTGTGACTGTGACTATCAAGACGTGAACATATGGACTTCGTCTGAGAAATGGTGGGAGGTTGCTGAAGGCTTTGGAGTGGGTGAGGGCAATGATCAAAGTGAAGCTTTAGGAGATGAATATAGCTTTCCAGGAAGGATCCTAGGGGAGACTGATCCCTTCTTTAAGGAATTTGATTCCTCTCCCCTTTCTATGTACAGAAAATTAAATATATGTTTAAGATTTCCTGAAGAAGCAGGGAACTCTTAGGATACTTTTTGAAAACAACCTCATTATATCACACATGTGCACACAGCTCAAGTTGTATTCCACAGGCACACTCATGCAAGTGCTAAATGCTCTCATATGCATACACACTGCCTCAAGCTGTTCTTGGGATCTTTCTTTGGTTCTTAGTGCCCCACTCCTTTTTTTCCTTCTCTGACATACCTGATGTCTTTCTTCCACCAGTAACTCGGGTTGTTTGCAAACCTCCCCAGTAGACTGAAAAGTTTCTCTCAGAAGGTGTATATAGTTTGACAGCATTGGTCCTCTGACCTTTGCCATCATTATCAACATTGGTCAGGCTTTGCTATAACTTCCTAGAATAATTCTCCTCATTAACACCATTTAGGGTCTCATGGATATTGAACACTTGATTTTCAGTAGCATCTGTTGAGTGTTGGTTACCTTTTGATTGGCCTCTTGAAAGCAACGTTGTCCAGAGGCAGGGATTTGACATACCGAGTGAAGCCACCACCTGGATTCCCTGCATGCTATAGCAGAGTACCTGGTTTGAGTTCCATCTACTCTGCTTCTGATGCAGTAATTAAGAATACGGAGCTTGCAAGTAAGCATGTAACAACTCAAGTTCTTAAGTCCCTCCCTCTCCTGTGTGGGAGGCTTGGATAGAGTTCCGAGCTCTCTGCTTCAGCCCTGCCTGGCCCTGGCTACTATTGGTATTTAGAGCCAGTGGACAGAATACCAACCTCTCTCCTGTTCTCTCCATCCCTGTCTTCCCCTCCCCTTCAAAGAAAATGAAAATAATATACAGCAGCACTGTCCAATAAAACTTTGTACTGTAACAGAACTATCATAGATTTATGTATGTGTGTATATATATATGTAGTATATACAAATACACACATTGTTTGCTACCTGATGTAATAACATCAAGCTCTTGAAATGTGACTTTTGCAGCTTAAATAGCTGCATATGGATGATGGCAACCACGTTGAAGAGTGCAACTTTAAAGAACTAAGAATTGTACAAGAAGCTGTAATGGTATTTGTGGCAAACATGATAGTGTATGTATGAGGAGGACATAGCCTTTTGTGGTTTTTTAAGATTTATTTATTTTTATTGCAAAGTCAGATATATATATGGGGGGGGGGGAGACAGAGAAAAATATCTTCCGTCTGATGATTCACTCCCCAAGTGACCGTAACAGCTGGTGCTGTGCCAATCCAGAGCCAGAAGCCAAGAGCTCTCCCAGGTTTCCAAATGGTTACAGGGTCGCAAGGCTTTGGGCTGTCTTCCACTGCTTTCCCAAGCCACAAGCAGGGAGCTGGATGGGAAGCAGGGCTGCCGGGATTAGAACCGGTGCCCATATGGGATCCCGGGCGTGTTAAAAGCAAAGACTTTAACCACTAGGCCACCATGCTGGGTCAAAACTTTTATTTTAAACTTTGACTTTAAGACTAACTTTTTGGACAAGTGAATAATCTGGTTGCTTCTGTCATCTATAGTGTTGGTGTGATTGGTAACATCTAAAGGAGAAGGGGCAGATGTTCTCTGGCCTAGAGGACATTATTTTACCTCTGAACTATTCATACTTGCTATGGTGGTAAAAAATCATATCCCCTTTCCATTGGTTTTAGTGTTGCTTTTTAAATTTTATTTTAAAGTTTAATTTAAATTGGTTTATTGTTTTAAAGATTATTTTTATTGAAAAGTTAGAGTTACAGAGAGGAGGAGAGACAGAAAGAAAGAAGGAGTCAGGGAGAGAGATTTATATCTTTCATCTGCTGGTTACTCCTCAAATGGCCACAGTGGCTGGAGCTGAATCAATCCAAAGCCAGGGCCTTTTCTGGATCTCCCATATGGGTGCAGTGGCCCAATGTTTAAATCATCCTCTGATGCCTTCCCAGTCCATGAACAGAACTAGATGTGGTACCCGTATGAGATGCTGGCACCACAGGCAGAAGCTTAGCGGGATATACCATGGCCTTGGCGTTTAGTCTTGCTTTTTAATATTCTCTATAGACAGTATGCCTTTTCTTTGTCAAGCCAGGGTGGAAAAGCCCCCCTGCCTGCCCATGTTATCACATTGGATATGATGTTACACATAGAAGATAAAAATTGAGCAGTATTAGTAAATCACTCAACGCCATGTCATACACATAGGTAACAGTCAATCATTCAGTAAGTACTGGTTAGCACCTGTGATGTGCCAGGCACTGTGTTAGGTGCTGAGGCTACAGGGGAAATATGGAAAGATTAGAAGATCTATTTACTGTATGGGAAAGGAGACAATTAACAGCTAGCTTATAATTTTGTGGGTTTTTAAATTGCTTTTTAAAACTGATAGGTACAAATTTTTAAGAAGTCAGCATTGGTTCACATGAATATAGCTATGCTTATCTTTAACCTATTCATTTTGATCAGTAACTCCATACTCATTTTGGTCAGTTAAATTCCATCTATAAGCCACCTAATTATGTTTTTCATCCTCTTTTTATTTAGAATTAGCAGCTTTATTGAGATACGATTCACCCAGTTGTAATGTGCCATTCAATACTATCTTAGTCTCTTTGCAGAGTTTGCATAAACAGCACCCAATCAATTCTACAAAAGTTACCATTAATGGGGAAAAAAAAACCCCTTTGTTTGGTTTATTACCAGATGCTTTTCACTTCTCTTCAGAGTTTCTAGCCATAGGCAATAACTAATCTACTTTGTATCTCTGTGGATTTGCCTGTTCTGGACATTTTCTATAAATGGAATCATACAGCATATAGCCTTTGTGACTGGCTTCTTTCACTTAGCATGTTTTCAAGGTTTATCCATGCTGCAGCATGTACCAGTAGTTCATTTATTTTACTGATTAAATCTTTAGCTGTTTATTTCTCAGTTGATTGATTGATTTGAAAAAGAGAGAGAGTGTGAGCTTCCATTTGTTAGTATACTCCCCACGTGTCCACAATAGCCAGGGCTGGGCAGGCTGAAGCCAGGAGCTGGGCAGGCTGAAGCCAGGAGCTGGTCTCCCATGTGAGTGGCAGGGTGGCAGGGTCCAAGGCACTTGTTCAGGTTCATCTTCTGCTAATTTCCCAGGGGCACTAGCAGAAAGCTGATCAATAGTGGAGCAGCTAGGGCCTGAACTGGCTCTCATATGAGATGCTGGCATCACAGCTGCTTAATCCTCCTTGCAACAGTGCTGGCTCCCATTTGTTTTATTGTTAAACCATGTTCCATTGCATGCCTATATACCACATTTTATTTACATATTCATCACATTTACACTTTTTAGGTCTTATAAACAATGCTACTGTGGGTATTTGGTATTTTATTGTTGTTTTGTTTTGTTTTTAAGATTTACTTATCCTTTGTTTATTATCGCAAGGGTAATTAATATGGAATAGTGTCTAATTGTCATTTGATTTGTGATTGTCTGATAATTAATGATGTCAAGCATCTCTTGTGCTTATGAGTCATTTGTATAACTTTTTTTTGGAAAAATGTCTATTAGATTCTTTGCTCATTTTTAATTGATTGTTTTTCCTTTCTTTTAATTTTGTTTGTACAGGATGCTGATATGCTAACTGGCGATGAACAAATATGGAAGGAGGTTCAAGAATCCCTGAAAAAAATTGAAGAACTAAAGGCACACTGGAGTATCCTTTGATCTGTGGGTTGAATTGGTTGTTGTGATTACTTTCTTAATTGTTTGGAGTCTGATATTAATGAAGCCAAAGTTAGAGCTTGGTGTCTCTAAAGGTTTCTTCTGTTCCATGATCCTGGGCTGCACCTCTCACTCCACAGCTGACAGCGTAAAAATCTAAGGAAGATTGTGGTGAAAATTAGTATGAATCCCTTGCCACCATTAGATAAGGTGGCTCAGTAACAGTAGGAAATAAAGTAGTCATCTCTTTATATGTAAAAGGAAACATATTTCTAGATTCCTGCCTTCCCATGATAACCACATTCATCTCCAGGAAAAAAAAATAGCCTGGAATCTTTATAATTTAAGACTACTGACCCTTGGACCTAGAAGCTTCCCCTTAAATCAGCCATGACTGCAGAAGCAATGTGAATGGCTGCACAATCAATTTTCCTGGCATACATTGTAAGGCCCTTCAGTGGGTTAGACTTCTGAGTAAAGCAGGATAGCACATGGGAGGTTGTGTGGGAAGACTTCGCTGGTGTTTTATTGTGCAAAAGATATCTTGAATGAGAGGCAGGATTTGGATAGAGTAGGCTGAGTTGGATATCACTGTCAGTAGAGGAGTTCACTGGGGATGGGGGATAAATGTGACAAGAAAAACCCACAGGTAAGAAGAAAGAAGGATGAAAACAAATTTCAAAAAGATCACTTAGGTACCTTAGTTAAACTACACCCCAGGCACTGAAAAAACAGGATTATAGATGAGCTTTCTCATATATAGACAATATTTTAAACGAATTATAATAAGAATGTAGTGAGATGGTTGTTTTTATTTTTCTAGGTGAAATACGTAATTTCTAAAGCCCATAGCCTAGTAACTTGGTTAGCATTCTGAGGGACTCTAGCATTGGTTCCTAAGGAACAGGAAAAGAAAGCTACAATCAGAATGCTGAATGGATTTACTGAGAGCAAGTAAATCCATAGTCACTGTTTCCTTTGTAAAGTAGGTAAGTAGAGTTCATAAAGGTAATTATTCAAGGAATTTATTTTAGTGTCTTACTGTATTGTTCTGAAAGAGTGATGCTTAATTGGATCGCTTTTGAGTACTTTGTTTTCATCCCAATCCTCTTCAACTTTTGATTCAGTCTCTTGAATAAACAACTAGGCAAGGTTCATCATATTCCTCAGAATGTGTACATGGAAGGATCATAGGTGTGGAATGTATGGTAGAATCAGGAGTTCTGGAGATGCCCGAAAGTTTGAATAATGTTGTCAGTTTAAAACGATGAAATTTTGATGAGAGTGTATATAGAATTTCTTATTGACATCAAAAAGTTTAAGGGTATAAATATTCAGAAAACTTAGCAGAAGATGGACTGTTAGGGCTTTATGAATAGCATGTTTGCAAAAAGTTTAATAAGAGCATACTATTAGCTCTCCAAAAGACTACTGAAATCTCAGGCTGCATAGATAAAAATATAGAATACAAAGTGAGACAGACAAATTTGAAATCATATATGTAGATCAGATGGATGATAGAAGGAAAGTAGCCAAAGCAGGGAGCAGAAGGTCCCTGTTCATGGGCTCAAAAAACTGATCCACAGCAGAGTACGAACATTGTTCTGTGTGGCTCCCAGGATGGCCCAGCTCCAGTGCCATCTCCATTGTACAAGGTTTTACTGAAAATTCAGTCTCTGGCAGGTACCTTGCTAGTCATGATTTACCTTATGGTCCAGGCAGAGATGAGAAGACACAGCTCTCCACTCACAACTCTCAAACAGTACCGTCTATGTGTAAAGCCGAACAGATTTTGGTAAAGATAAATATTTGCAGGGGCTTCACGGCTGTCAACTGCAGGAAGTCAACGGTCTCGCAGAAGAGGCAATAACAGAGCTGTCTGGGAAGGTTAGCAGGAGTCCCACCCCCCAGGCAAACCAAATGGAGAAGGGGGATCCCCAGGAGGAACTAACGTGTGCAGACACGTACAGTGTGGGATGGCATGCTGCCAGGTTGTGACCTGGTGCTCTGTACCAGAAGAGAGCCCCGTGACAAGGCCTTAAATGCCCTATGCAGGTGAGAGGATCCCTTGGACTGAGTTTAAGCAGAAGAATGAATGACATGATTAGATGAGAAAAGGCTCTGACCTGACAGTCTGCGACTCAAGGAGTTGATTAATTCCCAGGTGACTTTGCTCTTCTTTCTCTTTTTTCCTAATCCTCTTATGGTCCTCTACAGCTATTCAGAAAATAAAGGTATCTGCTCTGTCCACTGGTAATCTGTTCACTTTGGGTGGGCTATCCAGCCCTGCTTATGGTCTAGAGCTCAACTCCTTGCTGGAACAGAGAGGCTTGTGGTAAACACCACGCAAATGCCAGGCACTAAATCTCCGAGCAAATAGATGACGGTATTAGCTTGGAGGAAAAGCTTCTTAGTTAAAATCATTCCATTTTTTTGCTCACTGGGGTGTTATACAGGAAAGCTTTTGCCTTGTTTGCCAGGAGACCATTGCCAGCGTTGTGAAGGGAAATTGGCATGCAGTCCCTTCCAGCTTGCTCGGGGATAAAGTTGATGTATTCCTCTGAGTGGCTGCGGAACGTTACATCTGGTTTTTACTTCTAAAGCGTGTCACCCTCAAACGTCTTCAGAATGAGTTGGGAAATATATAAATGAGTAGGCAAATAATAGCAGAGGTCAAATAACAAAATATTAAAAGAAGTTGCAAGTCTTGCCACAGAAATGTCTAGCATTGTGTAAGAGACAGCCATTCCTCCTGACAGTTCGTCCAATATCTAATCCTGGAATGAAAAGCCACAGAGGTTAGCCCCGCAATCTGTTACAAAATCAGTGTATTGCATAAGACACTGCTTCTCCCCACAGCTGAGGGATACATTTAGCAAACTTTAAACATACATGTCACTTCTCTTGAATAAACACACCTCTGCTGGGACCAGAGTTAATTTCTCAGAGAGGGATTTGTCCTAACGGTAATGGGGAGTACAAGACGAAGGGCCCCCAGCCGTGCTTCGTGGTGCTTGCAGTTCTCGCCAAGAAAGCCATCTTTTGGGGCAAGCTATCTTGCCTCCCAGAGGGCCCTGCTGAAAGGCAAGTGTATTTCCTGTGAAGTTTCACAAACATATTAGTCTTCACTCAACAAAAGTGGTCTGATTGGCTTATTAAGAGTGTTTGTTAGTGTTTTGGAAAGCAGTGCCCTAAGGGTTTGGATGCTGGACAAAGTGGATTTTGCTGGAGGAGGATTTGGAGCACATAGAGGGCTGCTTGTTCAAGGTGCGTCCCATCATGCTAGGACACCATGAAGATGGCTTGAGAGGGGCGTTTTGTGAAGAGATTGTGTCCTGTGGGAGGATGGGATATTCTGTCCAACCAGGTCCACTGCACCATTTTTCTTAAACCTACCCATACTTAGAGGTCTTAACACAGGAAGGATAGAGGCGACATTGATATTTGCGTGGTGTACAAATTCTGTGTGGCACCACATGTTTTACTCCTGTATCCCTGGTACCCAGAATTCTGCCTGGCTCACAACAAAGTGTGTAATAGTTCTGGCATTTTGCATACAGCATCTTATTTAATTCCTACTGTGACATGATGCCTTTTTTTTTTTTTTGGTCTATATCAAACCACTCTGACCTCCTTAAAACCCCAAATCTGACAAATGACAGAAATAGCATAGATTTGAATCCTGCTTTATCTCCAGTCAAACTCCATGCCATTTCTGCTTTATCCGAATCTTCAAAGGGTGTCACCCACATGAACTCCAACATCTGAAAGCATATGAACGTCAGTGTGTACTGCAGAAAGTGGGGTAGGGGTGAGAGACAGCCAGCTTCAGACCAGCCACTTTCCTGGCCTACAGCCACCCTCACGACGCAGCACAGCACAGACACCGAGTGAGGTGTACAGCTCTGCACTCTCACGCCCAGCTGTGCTCTGCTTCCAAGGTGATTTCTTTGGGAAAGATTGGAAGCACCCTCCAGGTACTATGTCTTCAATTTGATTCTAAGGAGACAGATAATGTCAGTTTTCAAAAGTAAGATTAAATTACTGACTCTCGGTTAATCGAAGTCATTGTTACTGCAGAGTCAGTATGGATCTTTTCCATGTCCTTTAAGTGAGAGGCTGAGGGGGAGTGAAACAGGCTGGCAGAGGTCCCATCTGCTGGTTTGTCCCCAGATGCTGTGGATGCAGAAACCCAGTGCTGATCGCTTGTGTCAGTGGCAGCGACTCAGTTGCTTAAGCCATCATCTGCTGCCTTCTAGGGTGTGCATTAGCAGGAAGCTGAATCCCAGGCAAACCTAGGACCTGAACCCAGGCATTCTGATATGGGACACAGATGTCCCAGCTGACACCTTAATTGTTGTACTATATGTCTTTTCCTTCCCATCCTTTTAAAAGTATCATTTTCTCTTGCCTGCAGTATATGCACATAAGCCCAAGGTTTAATATTTAGCTTCACTTCAGGAGATTAAAAGAATATGTGTGGTTGGCTGTTTGGTCTAGAGGTTAAGATGCTGATTAGTGTGCCCATGTTCCACGTAGAGAAATGCAGGGCTTCTGGTGGATTTGCACTCTGCGAATCAGTGACTGGCTTCACCTGTTGGGTGGCTGCTACCAGTGTGAGACCTGGACTGAATCTTGGCTTTTGGCTTCAACCAAGGCATCTGGGGAGTGAACCTGTAAACAGGGCTCTCTCTCTATTTATTCATATATATGTGTGTGTGTGTGTGTGTGTGTGTGTGTGTGTGTGTGTGTGTGTGTGTGTCTGCCAAATACATTTTATAAAAATAGTACTTTTATGAAGTCACTTTTGCTTTGCAATAATAGCAAAAAACTTAAATGTGAGATCCACTGTAAATGAATTCCTTCAAACTGCTCCCCCTTATGTGTGCCTGTGGGTTTTATATTTATTTGGCTTCGTGAACGCTCAAGACTCAAATGACACTGAAGCAAGCATGAGCCTTCCTTTTGAAACCTGACTTTCTTTAAGCCATCAACTTCTAAATAGATGCTAGCAGAGTAAATAGTTTCAAACTGAACTGAGAATCATCCATTCTCAGTGTCATTCATTTCACAACGAAGTTTAAAGGGAATATATTAGGAGTAGGAAGGAGTCTTGGGAAACTGCAAGCCCTCTAAATGAGAGGCTTGCTTAGAAGACGGCTTATTGATGTAAACAGAATTTGCTTCCCTGAGATGCTGCTTACATGTTTTGTTTCTCAAGTGGGCATTCAGGCAGCTCATCTGCGCAAGTTAATGGAGACTTCCTTCCCTTCCAGTGCCCGGGAGCTCTTCAGCCTTTTAGAGGAGCTCATTGTACTTTTGTTTTTCCTTGATGAGACAGTAAATCCTTAACTAAGGTTAATAACAGAGTGGGAACAGGTCCTGGCAATGTGCCAGACAATCATAAGCAGCAACTCCGAAAGGCTTCCCGACATCAATATATACCAGCTGAAGGTGCTTGACTGTGCCATGGATGCCTGCATCAACCTCGGCCTGTTGGAGGAGGCGCTGTTCTATGGGATTCGAACCATGGAGCCATACAGGTAGGCCCCAGGGAGAGGGTTCAGGGAAGCCTAGAATATGTTTATTCTAGTAGAAGGGTTAGCATTATGAAAATCTGATTGCTACTATATATTGAATGTTCCCATCTGTTTCTCAATGTGTAAACCTAAAGCAAGTTGCATTCCATTTCCTTACCACTCATACATGCATCTATTCCTCATTTGCTGGGTTTCTTGTGTGTGTCAAGAACTGCAGGCATTGGTGAGGTGTGGTGGCCTGTGGAAGCGATGATTCAGTGTGTGAGGTTGCTTTAATGATGGAGATGAGCACATAGCAGGTGTGGGAGATCTGGAGAGGAGCGGCATGTGGCTCACGCCTGCCTTGGAAGGCTGTGTCACTGGCTTCTGACCAGCTTTGAGCCCATGGTCTGGTTGATGTTTAGTTGCCTTTCTGGTTCCCAGAGTGCTTTCAGTAGAATTGTTTGCCCTCACAACCACTTTGTGACCCAGACAGGAAAGCAGAGAGGCTGCCCTGCCCAGATGGGCCATTGAATCACTCAAAGGAACTATGGGTAATTCACTGCTTCTTTCCTGGTCTCAGCTTTCCAGATCCACAACTGTACTGCTCCTGCATGACCTTGCAATTCAGTGGAACCTGGGAAGGGAAAGCAGTGTTAAAGTCTCAGGCTGAGAGCTTGGTACTGATGGGTGTCAGGGTCCCAATGTGCTACAGGCTAACAACCTATGTCCAGAAGCTGAGCTTAAAATCAGTCTGGTGGGAGGGCATCGAGGCTGTGAATTATAATCTGGAATAGCCCAGTCTCCAGCACAGAGGAAGGTTGCTGCTTGGAACGATACCCCCCAAACACCTGGGATTTGGAGTACAATACCATTCAGGGAAGGGTGCTGAGATTCCCAGCTCTGCAGAAACATGGTGTCAGCCAAAAGGGGCTGTGTAGCAGGGACAGCAGGCTCAGAAGGACTCTGCATGACCCAGGGAACAGGAGAAGAGAAAGGTAGATCCTAGGGTACTTCCTGTCCTTGCTTGAGGAAAAAACCTAAGGAGATAACTTGGAAAGTCACTGGAACTGGTATGTTGAGAATAGTGGTGAGTCTAGGATGAGGACCTTAGTTCAAGCAAAGGTAAGAAGCCAGAAGTGAGGTCCTCCACCAGGAGGTTTTTTGCAGGCGAAGAGGGAGGGGAACACAGCAAAGGCCCTGTCAGCCCTGTCAGAGGTCCATAGGCCAGCCAGTGGCACCAACATGACCTTTGGAGTATTTTCCAGGCTTCTACAGGTGTTTCTGTGCCATGGCCTTGAGGGTGAACAGTTTTCAATTCTAGACTGTGAGTCAGCTGGAATCAAAATGAGAAGAGATTACCTTGAGGGCTGAGACTGTAGACTTTCCCATGAGCAGTGAAATGTCTGTTTCATGACATGTATCATGGGTTCTCAGAAAATATGATTCAAATACCAAAAGATAAGGTGTCATTCTCAGAGCCTCAGTGTTGCAATGGCAGGCTGGCTGGGCGTGTTGGTGTTACCTCTCTGAACTCCAGGGCTTGGGCTCAGGAAGCCAAACCACAGGCTACCGGCTGAATGGGTGGACTCCAGCCAGGAGCTGCGGACAGGAAATACTCCCTTACTCCTGACTGGTGCTGCCCCATCCTCCCCTTCCTCTCCACATTCATGCTGTTCTACTCAAGCCTCCTGAAACACAGAAACTTGAAATCGGCCCACACACCTTCAAGGATGCTAATTCTCTGTATTTCTGAGTCCCATTCTCCCCACTTACCCAAACTTCTCTGCAGCACTAACTTGCCCCTCAGTTTGACTGACTTAAACTTGAATCAAACAAAGAGTTCTTTTTCTTGGGAGACCAAATCCAGTAGAATGTACTCCATCATGTTGGGAAAACATTTGGTTATATTTTCATGATGTTTGGCAGGTCACATTCTCTCTGTCAATGTTTCTTCTGTTCTTAAGCTGGGTGACAAATTTCCAGGCCTCCCTCATTTTCTCTTTCCTGGAGCTTGTTAAGGAGTTATTCTGTAGTGTTCAGTATTTAAAGAAACCCAATCTGCGTTGCTTCACTGTAAATGCATGAGATTTGATCCACTTGCTTTCAAAGTTATAGTGGAGAGAAAGTTTTATAACTGTTGGGAGAGAAAAGCAGGGTGGGGTCTGGGGCCTCTTCCATTGTAACTCAGATAAAAATGAAAATAAGGAACAAATACAAGTAAATCAGGTGCCCTATAAGCTCAATGGCACTCTTGGAGCATGAGGTAGGAATAAATAAGCTGACTTGTGCTTGAAGAAATTCACATTAAGTGTGATCAAGCATAAGCACAAGTCTCCTTGCAAGTATACCAGAGGGCTTCCTGCGCACTTTTAGCTAAGGACTCAGATAGTGACCAAGAAGAGACTGCATTGTCAGTGGTCATAACAGCTTTGCAATGTTAATATATTGTTTGCAACAACGAGATGGAGGTTAGGTTTCAAGTGAGAATTTTGTCACTCGTGATCTTGGCTAAATCTTAACTGCTGACCTGTTTTTATCCAAATCATTGTTCTCAGCTCTTCCCGCCACTCCATCATTTATTTTTTCTCAGTAAGTTTTACTCAGTTCTTATGATACAGTTAAGAGTTTGGCTTTTTATATTACATCAAGCAAGTTGGAAATAATTTACATAAAATGAACTGTCTAACCTTTCATACATTATTAGCTTGTAATGTGTCTTCTAAAAGTATCAGTGTCCACACTCACAATTACATACACAGGCATCTCTCCGTTAGCATTGCCAAAAAATACTAAATAGAATAAAAGTCATTTAAAAGTGTTTCATTATCAGGTTTAAATCAGTGAAATCTTAACCAGAAGATGATCCAGGTTCTAAAGCTGGAAATTTAGAATGTGGCATGCACTTTCCTGTTAAAGATGGTGTTATAGATTCTGTGAGCTCTAAAGGCTACCTAAGAAAATCTGCACCGCCTAAAATATCACTAATGTAAGCTGTAAATTTCAGAGAGGAAGACAATTCCTTGTACATTTAAAAAAATATTTGAGGGCCCAGCACAGTAGCCAAGTAACTAAAGTCCTTGCCTTGCACCCATTGGGATCCCATAGGGATGCTGGTTCATGCCCCCAGTGGTCCTGCTTCCCATCCAGCTCCCTGCTTGTAGCCTGGGAAAGCAGTCAAGGATGGACTGGGCTAGGCAGAAACCAGGAGCTTCCAACAGATCTCCATCCTGGGTGGCAGAGGTCCAAGTTCTTGTACATCTTCCACAGCTTTTTCCAGGCTACTAGCAGGTAGCTGGGTCAGAAGTGAAGGAAAAGAATCGTGAACTGGTTATCATATGGGATGCCACTGTTGCAGGTTTTGGCTGTACACTGCTAGGCCAACAATGCTGGCCCCACAAGTTGTTTCGAACCTAGTTTCATGTCCTATTGTATACTAATTAAACCTAGTTTTTCTGTAGAAACCAGAAACTGATAAGGAGGTATACAGAAGCCTTTTCCAGCCTTAAAACACACATGTTCTGATAACTTGGTTTTTATTGTGAGAGTATTGTATATTTCTAGGGACGGCACTTTAAAAAGAAAGGTAAACATCGTCCCTGTCTTCCAACTCTCGTCCCAATGCCTAGAGATAAACATGACTAGAAATTTCTGTCCTCAATCCTTTTGTGAATGATTGCATGACCCAAAGCCCCACTTGAGTTAGTCTTAGTGTCCTGTCGGGCGAGGAAGGGTGGGAAGGGAGGGGAAGAGGGAAAGAAGAGAATCCCTATATCTAAAACTGTGTCATCGAAAACAGTAAGTTTTAAAGTACTCCTAACATTTTCCGGTATTTCTTAGAAAGACATAAATGAGAATTTCACCCATAGTAACACAACAATATTTCTGTAAAGCCCGAATTCCTGCTGTTCTTTGCACTCAGCTTCTGCTGTCTCACATCCTGACAACTCATTTTCTTCAAACTCTTTAAGATTTTCTTCTTGCCTTTTTTTCTACCTCTCTGTCTTTCAACTCAGTTCCACCCAGTCCACTTAAGAAGCCTGGCACAATGGCAATTAAGATGAGAAAGAGAAATGGGCAGAGGAAGCCATAGATTTTTAGTGGGTATAGAGAAATAGAAAAATAGTAGGATCATTCTCAGTCCTATAATTTATAAACGTGATTGCAGTACATGGTAGATATCTGAATTCTTCAATGTCTGCTTCATTCTTTTTAAACAGATACATAGTATTTTATCATTTGACTAGATCCTAATCTTTAAACCAGTACCTATTATGTCTATTTGTGCTATGTCAAAGAATGTTAGGATTAGCATCCATGTACTTGTGTGTCTATATACTGATGCACCTAAATACTAAAAGGTGAATCCATGTGATAAATTCTTCAAGTTGACTTGCTGGTTCAAAGTTTACATGCTTGTTACAGTCGGGTAACTGTCACCTACCTGTGCTCCCACACACAGCAGAACAACAAGGCCACTCTTAGAGAATGTGACAAGGGATAGCATTGATTTCTACTATGCTTATCTTAAATTCGTTTGAAAATGTATAAGGACGTTCTCTTTTTTGCTGATCAGAGCCTGCATTTATATGGTAAGGTGTGCTGGTATAAATGTTGACAACAGGTAATGGTTTTGGATGGTTGAGTGACATTTTATGAGTTACCCAATAAAGTGATGGAGGAATGGGTGTGGAACGAGTACATTAATATACTGCTGAGATCAGAGGAAGAGATGAGGAGGGTATAAAATCCCTTCAAAGAGAAGGAAAGTTAATAAGAGTAAAATTTCAGCTCTAACAGTTTTCAGTACTTGGTTGTCAGAAAAAAGTAAGTAAATAAAAGGAGAACGGAAGTGAACTATGACTGGCATTTTGTATCCATGACAAGTCTGTTGTTGATAATGCACAGATTGCCAGTAATCACATAGCAGCCACATCCATTTTCATCTTGCCTACTTTCAAACTTCTCCCTCTGAAGTTTTGGCAGGAAAGTTAATAAAATGTAGGGTTTCACATACCAGTAAC